ATAGTTCGAGTCTATTACTCCAGCTCCTACGTCTATTCCATGTTTTACAGCCAGACCTGAGCATGGAGCGATGCGTCCGTAGCATCCGCTGGGTATCATCAACTTCAGGCCGGTATCTACGAGGAGACGGGAACGTCCGGGAACGATCACTTCCTCCGCTGAATGCAGATCGTACCCTGCTGCGCCTTCTGTTTGGCGAGTAGGCACGATGGCTTGCGGGTGATCTAAGAATACACGCAGAGTGGTTTTCTGTGCCTTCTTCTTCAGTGTACGCCTTGCCGATGTCGAAGCTTCCACTTGCAAACTGTCCGTGTTCTGAACTGAAGAAAAGTTAGAAATTGAGCTATTCACGGAATTAAGCACCGATGCTTCTTGATCCGGCCGAGCTCGATCAGGCACCGCTAAGGTCCCGTCATCCCGAGACCCCGTTTTCGCTCCTACTACTGTTACATTAAAGTGGGCACCACTACTTGTACCCATATTGTCCGACGTAGTGCTAGAAGTACAGTTGAGAGTGGAAAGAATAGAAAATCGAGATCCATTAGGGAGTGGTGGTGTGCTGTCATCTGCGTCAGGGGTACTGGATTTTCCCTTTCCTGAGCTTAGACCCTCCTGCCCACATCCCTCCAGGGTGTTTTCAGGTACGGCTTGATGGCGCTTCTCAGGCTGGGCCTCCACCACCATCAGCTCGACTCTCCCTGGGGACCTACCTTTTGGTGACCCGTCTAAACCATGGCCCTTCTCAGGTCTCGCGACCTCCGTGACCATGGAATGGCCGTTAATGGTCAGGGTTGACCCATGTGAACCAGGGCGCTTCTCAGGCTTTTGGGCCTCCACCACCGAGGAACGCATGTTACTGGTCGGGGAAATGGAACCGTCCGATACGAGTCGAGAGTCCTGCAAGACTTGCGTACTTAAGCCTTGCCGAATTGAAAACCCGCCTGGTTGAGCAGAGCGGGGTTGGCCGCAATGGCCGCCTTGAATGCTCGTACGGCCTCGGTTTCTTCTACCGTACTGGCCCGAGCTGCAGGCTGAGCATCCTTCTTGCGCCAGCACTGCGCCTTGCCGTCGTAGTAATGGGTGTGCCATATATCCGTGCACGACCCCTTTTCCAACCTTTCCTTTCCACAAGTACCACACTTTCGGTGCTTGTCGCGTTCGTTTTCGACGCCTACCGTTTCCTTGTGTGGTACCGCTTTTCCTGCCTCATCGACGTTTCTGATGGGCGCTCTCCCTGTTGTCCTAACCGCGTTGGCCGTTACCGTTGTAGAGCCTTCCTCTTGATGGACTTGGCGGGTTTTGGAGTCTCTTGCTTTCCCCTTGCCCTTTCGGTCCTCAAAGGTGGATGCCCACTGCTGCTGCTGTTGCAGGTCCAGTCGTGCCGCAACCTGTTTCCATAGGCTGTAGCTATTGACGTCTCGACTAATACCTTCGGATGCCCATATTCTGTCACAGAGCTCCTTTCGCATGGCATTCCTAAGTAGTTGGAGCAGCAGCTGCTCATCCTTGTACCCCGAGACCTTGACCCAATGTTCCCACTCGGCTTCAAACTCCTCCCAAGGCTTGTATCTTTGCTGCATGTTACGCAGCATCCGTTGACCTTCTAGCTCTGGGTTCGCGGGGTAATACATTTTCTTGAAGTCCGCGATAAAGTCCTGAAGCGTGGCATACACCGGTGGGCCCCCCATCATTCTTTCCAGAAGGGATGCTTTCCAGTGGTCGATTTGTGGTCCTCGGATGTAAGACATTGCCCAGCGGATTTTACTTTGTTCATCTTCGAACTCGCTGGGTTTCATGACGATGTAGTTCATTACATCGACAAGCCATGCCTTCGCTTTTGCCTTGGTGCCATCGAATGGCTCTGAGAGGTTGACCTTTGGTCCTCGGAACGACTTTCTATGTACTTCGTCCGAGGATGCTGGTGGCGGGGCGGCGGAACGACGGTCCCGATCGGGCGGTGGGATCGGTCGTTCCGGGGGGAATGCGAAAAGTGCTCCCGCCAACTCGTCATCCTCGTCTCCCTTGTAGGAGTGTGCCGGGGACATTGGGGGCATCTGCACCCTAGAGGGCAGCTGCTCAGGGTTTCCCTGGTGTGCCGGTTTGAGCCCACTAGGGCCAGCGGGTCCTGATCCACTGACTCCTTTTACCCAATCCCGAATATCCTGCTGACCAGGATCCTGTCTGTGCTTGCCTTTGTCGACCGGTTTCTTGGGCAATCGAATAGGAGAAGGGGGCGGTGGTCGCGTCATGGCTTCCAGTAATTGAATGCGGGTTTCCTGGGTCCTATTGATTCCTTCCAGACCCTTTACCCTTTCCTCACTGGATTGGAGCGCTTGCTTGAAGGCGTCCAGTTCCGTTGTTAGTTTATGGATCTGGTTGCCGCGCTCTATTCCTGCAGCGACCCTCTCATTGTTTTCTTTCATGAGACGGTCGCGAGTTGCCTCGGCAGCCAGGCGCCCTTCTCGTGCTTCCGCTGTCTCCCTTCGTGCGACGTCGAGTCGACTAAGCAGTCGATTGTAGTCATTCTGGAGGTGTTGGTAGGCACGCCTCATGTCGACCGGTTGGTTCCAGTATCCGGGTGTTTCCTCCGTGGGCGGGGAAAGACCAGGTCGTGCCAGGTAGTAACTCTGCCTGTTGTCAGGGAGCCTGTATCGCTCATATCCTGGCGGAGTTCCTGAAGCGTGACTCGACCAGACGTAGTCTTGTCCCCTTGCCGCCCCTCCATGTCTTGCCACCACATCTATGGGTTGTGTTCGATACCGCTGCCTGTCTTCTACAGAATGCTCGCGAGCGTGGATATCGTACTCCCACTGATGGAATCGCCTTCCTGTCCTTGGTTCTTCGGAATATAGGGCGGCGAATTCGTCTACTAGCCTTGCTGAGGGCCCCCTTCTTGTGGGAAGCGCTTCCAGCATTGCTGGCATCATGAAGTATCGTGGTGTGGGAGCGAGGATGTCGGTGTTGTTAAATGACGACGGAGGGGATGCCCCGGGATTCGGACCTTCGGGATTCAGGTGTCCTTCTACGGAATGTTCAGATTGCGCCATTTTCGGTGTTGGTACCTGGTCGGGGTTTTGGCGACCTGTTCAGAAAGGTTCTTCTTCGTCGGATGAGATACCGTATTCTTCGTCGAACAGGAGATGGTATAACTCCTGGTCGTCTTCGACTGGTTCGAGAGCGTGAGGTGCTTTCTGAATTATTCGATGTGGCTGGTATTCGAGCCTTTCGTAGTAGTCGAGGATGACTTGGTATCGGTAGAGGACAAAACGAGCTTGAGCGACGTGGGGTTGGTATATGAAATCTGCCCGGAATACGATGCTGATGTGCTCGTAAACCTGGTCCCACTCTATGGGTCCTGGAGATACGGTGTATATGGACGAGTATCCTTCCAACGAGAACCTTTGCATTCGATGGTGTTATCTACTCGCGTGCTTGACGAGTTGTTCTTTACTAGGCCTCGTAATGACCCAGACGCAGCTTTAGAGTCCTGCTACTCCTAGTAGGTCTAGTTACTACGGAGTCCTGAATGACGCGGTTCGCAGTCGCAGAGGGGTCTTTGTGGTCTTTGATTATTTCACCACCAGTGTCCAACTACCTCTGAAGGGATGTAACCTTGGTCCACCTGCCGTTCCAGCAGAGCTTTCCGAGAGTTCGTCCCACGTCAAACGACTATTTGTCTACGTATGTACTGGTAACTAAACCCCTAAGTAGGTCAGAACTGCGCAGGGGTTGAATACGCGTCTGGTGCCGCTTTAGCACTGAGCAAGTAGGTTTATTCCCTCGCTACTCGAGGTTATGCAGGTCTCGCCGAAGCGGTCCAGAAGTGTTGCTGATTTACAGCTTCAGAGCCTTTTCAAAGGTGACTCGTTCCTCCCGCAAGTTCTCCCTTGTCTGCGGTTGTTACGTCTGCTACCCCTAGACCTGGTGGCTAGGATGGCGACGTTAGAGGATAAATCCTCCGTATAGCACGGCAGCAAGGCCGAGGATAGTTTATATGGACTAGCAGCCCCACGCTTCAATGTCACGCCTCTACGGGGTCTATGGGCCTGACAGTAGCCTGACCAGACAGGGTCCCTGACGGATTAGCCAATGATGGTGGTACCCTTTTAAGGAGTACTGCGTCCCCTGCTCCTAGTGGTGCTGACGTCAACAGGCACTCCTGGCCCTCCTTGACAGCCCTAATGCGGTTTTAACCACTAGGTTTCAACTGGCAAGTCCCCTTACGCCTGGGGTCGCGGCAAGATTTGGGACTGTAGTATGTCGCCCACTTTCGCAGGAGGCTGGTTTAGGGCCTATGTATCCTGACTGACAATCCGCGTATTTGCTTCACCGAAGAGGTTCAGCAGGGCGCAGCTAAGCCCGAGGAATGTGGGAAGAAGCCCTGACTGGGCACGATGAGGATGGAGTTGATCGACAGAGAGATAGCAGTCCGAGGCGTCGACCGGTGCCCACAGACTATAGAGAGTAGTTTCGAGTTATGTGAAGGATCTCAGGAACTCCTGGGTCCGCTCTCGCCTATCCCGTCAGGGATCTCTAGCTTAAGTGGAGGAGTAAAGACCAACTCGAAACTGA